GTATTAAATAAATTGTCTATTGTCCACTCCAAAGAGTTATACAGAGATGTATATCTGAAAATTTAATGCGAAAATTTTAGAAATATGTCACATTTGCATGTCAGATTATTTCGGAGATGCACCTCCAAAAAAATTAAATGTGTTATTACTAAAAACAGTCACTTGCATGATCATACCCCATATCTATTTTTTCCGTAAATCCTCTCCAAAAGTCCTTCTATTCTCAATTAGGGGTGTTCAAATCCAAACCAATCCAAATAAAAAATCGAAAACCGATCCAAAAAACTGAAAACCGCAAAAACTGGAATTTATTGGATGACATTTTGTGAAAATCAATCGGTTTTGATCGGATTTCGAATTAAAATTTCAAAACCGATCCAAACCAAACCGAACCGCATACGTATATTCTTATACTTATTTACTTTTTATTAGTATGATATGTTATGTAAATTTATTATTAGATGATAATAATTTTTTAATAATATTTATTAGCCTAGTATAATCTATTTATTCTTATTATTTCAACCATAATTGATCACTCTCGTTTTGAATATTAACTCTTAATATACTCTATGTTATATATTATATTAAATACATGATTCTTTAGTAGTTTTATAATATAAATAAAAATATAATGTGCAATTTGGATATCCAAAAACCGATCCAAATTAAACTGTATAAAATTGGATCGGATCGGATTGAATTGTTTTAATATATCATCTAAAACCAAACCAAACTGCAAGTAAATTCATCTTTGGATCAGATGAGTTTTTACTTTAAAACTGATTCAAACCAAATTGCAAACACCCTTATTCTCAATCAAGATTTTTACTTCAAAACTCCATTCTCGTATTTCATCAAATCAAAAGGAGCAAAAGAAGTTGAAATTTAAAGTAAAATTCATTCATTTCAACTCTCATTGCTCACATTAATTATGTTTTGATGCTGAAAAGTATTTTCAAATGAGGTCGCATTAACAAACCATCTCCTTCACCTCTTCCATCAAAAATCTCATTCATTAAAGAGATGTTGACTTTTATGCATAAATACATTGAACAGATCGTCAATGTCAATGGTGACGATAACTGTAGTTTTCAAGTGGTTTCTGTTTTGCTCGATAAAGAAGAAAAGGATCACACACTAGTTCACCATCAACTTATTCAAGAATTGAGGAGCGATAAAGAATCATACACTCGACTATACGGAAATAAAGAAAATTTTGAAGCAATTTATCACTCTATTGTTCCTTTCATTAGTAGACCTGCACTGGATGATAAATTAATGTTTTTTCCTTAAATAGATCATCTCATAACAAGTGCATATGATACAAGGTCTGTCCTGAACTCGGACAAACTGGCCCTCAGCCTAGGACCTCAAAAAAAATGGAGACCTCAATTTTGAGAGGTATGGTTAAAAAATTATAATACTGAAATATATATATATATATATATATATATATATATATATATATATATATATATATATATATATATATATATATATATATATATATATATATATATATATATATATATATATATATTAGTGAAATTAATGAACAATTTGTTGCTTGTAGCCTAGCGGCTCATTCCTTCCATTTGGAGTTTATGGTCTGCAATTCAATGCTCAGCTCCTTCAAAATTGGAATTTTCAATTATTATTTTTTTACGCTGTCACCTAATTACATAAGTTCGTTATGAATTCTAAATATCATTTTTGTGACAAATAGCATTTCTTAAATTTTAATTATAAAATAATTTTTTATATAATTAATAAAAATTTATAATAAGATTTTAAATCAAATTTTATTTTGATGATTATTTATTATAATCCTTATAATTTTATTTTAATTTATTTTAGTATAAATTTTAGAGACTATTTACATGTTATAATTAAATATTTAAAATTTTATCATATAATTAAGTAATTTATTATGATAAAATAAAATTTATTATCATTCGTGCTTTAATTTATTATTATTTTGATCATAGAAATAATTTTTTTATCAGTCAGGTAAACCTGCGTATTAAAGTCAGTACATGATTTAGACCTACTCTTACGTTTCTTAGTCATATGATTTAATTTTTCGCAATTGAAGCAAGAGAAAACACCACTTTCATTTATCAGTTATAAACCTATGTATTAGAGCCAAGACATGGTCTAGGCCTACTCATATATTTCTTAGCCGTATGATTTAATTTTTTACAATTGAAGCAAGAGAAAACATCACTTTAATTTCTTTGAGATGGTGGTTGTTGCCTAAAAATTGGAGCAATTAAGACCCTTAAAAGATTCTCATTCTTAATTTCGTTAATCATATTGCGAGTTTCTTTTTGTTGTTAGAAACAACTAAGACTTCATATTTTTTATCTTTGTCTCCGAAATTCTTCTTCATTTTATAGGCGAGTAAAAAATCAGTTTTTTATTAGGGGTCTATTTTTTTTTTGGTTCTGGGCCTCTAAAAAGTCGGAACCGGCCCTAATATGATAGAGTGTGTATTAATCTTACAAGATACGGTTTTTCGGAAACTTTTTTTCCATTGCGCACTGCTCCACCTCCAAATTCAAATTATCGTATTATTTGTGTTGGTTGGGATTCAAATATGTGGTATTTTGTTCAAGTTCATTTGAAATCGGAATTCCACATACCACTTACATCACCGAGTGGGTAGCTCATTCTACAACCAAAGTCGAGATTTGGCCGGACCAATTTATTAAAATGATGCAAGAGTTCACCAAACTGAGTAAGATCAAAAGAGAAATAAATAATCAAAAGTCAAAGGGAGTACCACCAATAATTATAGATTTGACTGGCGACAAGTCTTTCAGTTCATTTTAGTATTTATTTATCAATTTATTGTAAGTGACGTTGTACTAATGTGTTATGATGTCTAATATATATATTTTGAAGTTTGTCAAAAAAAAATTGCATTAATTACATGTTCTATTATGTTTTGGCTGGGAAGGTTCTGAAAATACATCTCTGAAATAAAAGGTGGTACCGGAGATGCACTTTCGGAATGTGTCATGATACAAGATAGAATTGCTAAGGTCGGTATTAGTTTACAACTACTATAAATATAAGGCATTTGTCTTATTGTTTCATACTAAACACAATACAAAAGAATGAATATCATTTGACATGTTAGAAATGTTCACTTTAACGGCTTACACCCTCAAGAGAATTTTAGATCACTGAGTACACCCTCTTGAAGATCTAAAATACACACTGCAGAAATTTCTACCATACAACGACAATCGAAAAATTGTAAAGATCGAGTATCGTTTGTAATCCGTTGACAAAGAATGGAAGATTGAGTTCATCCACTATGAGCTGAAGACGGACACTCTTTTAAGGGTTATGTGAAAAACTTTTCTCCATTTAGAATAAAAAAATTTGATCGAACTGGATACGATTGTTTCAAGATCGGTCGATGATATTATCAAGATATTGCAATGTCCATTGGATATTGAAATGTAATGTTTCATATATGTTGAAATCTATTATGTATTATTGATTTTATGATATCAATGGTCATTTTATTTTGTCAACATATTGTTTTTCAATTTTGTTTTTCTACTTCTGCTTCATAACACTCTGGAAATACATCTCCGAAAATTTTACGAAAATATATCTCTGAAATAAAAGACTCATCAGTATACAGTTAGCGCGTCGGAGATATATCTTCAAAATCTGAGGACATTATTGTATTTTCACACGGTGTGCTAGAGATCTTGAGGGTGCATTAAAAAATTCCCTTATTTATATATTTTGTCAATTGCCCTTGTTTGAGGGGGCTTGACTTTGGAAAACGACATCGCATTATCCGCAAAAAGAGGGGGAGATGTTATGACTTATGACCATTGGCTAAAACTTGAAGAGGAAACCATTTACCAATTCTAACCTTTTCCTAGATCATTTTTCCAAGTCTCTTCATGCAAAATAAATCTTTAAAGTATTTGAAACTTCACAATTCAAAATATTTAGATCTGTACACCAAATGCTAGACGGGAGATTCAATCGTGCCCCTTTTTATACTTTCTCTGGAAAATCTTTTGAGTGTAAAAGAAAGAAGTGCTTATGCTACCAAGCTTAATCACTTCTCTAGGGGTTTTGGAACTATACTATTTCTTCTTGGAATAAGATCTGTTCATATTTGTAACAACTTTCACTATATAAAACCATTGAACTAGCTGAATCAACAGTCTCCAATGTGCCTTGATCCATTTGAATCTCTTTATCATATAATACTCGTAACCATGATTCTGAATTTGTGTGACGTGCTAAATTGATTTATATTTTAAAACAGACGGAGTTCTACATTTAGTAAATTTAGTTAGTGATGTATCAACAAGTATGAAATAACAGTTGTAAAAAGGATATATAAATAATATATTATTCAAGAACAAGAAGTAAATTGGAAATTACAGCACTAAGAACCTCTATGCCATTGTCATCATTGTATTATAAGAGGGATATAAATTTACAAGCACAAGAAAATGATATCTCAACTACATACGTAATCCTACAAACAAATGATATGCAGCATATCAAGAACACATTTGCAAAAGTGAATAACAATGATAAAGACAATAAATCAATGCTAAAATAAGTTCAAAAAAACATGTACATTGGCCACAACTTGCTTAAGAATCGCTAGCTAATTCTAACTCAAAAGAAACTTACATTGCTAAACATTTAGACATACATACCATCCATCAGTATAAATCTGGGTGCAGCAAAAGTACCTTACCAAGTTTTACCATTTGTACAGATCTTCAGCAATCATTTCTTGATGCAGCTCCTCGACCTCTACCTTAGGAAAGTCCATTGGTTATGGTATTATATGTGATGTTCATCAAACATATCAAAAGATACTGAACAATCTCTTATGCAACCATCGCTCTTTGACATCTGTATAAACAATCAATTAAAGAATAGGCTATGACTATAAACTTAGTCAATACTCTTTTCAACATTAGGTTGAATAGTGCAGTATCCTAGGCTACATGTTGTATTTTGCAAAAAGCATCTAACAACGTATTGTAGGTAACAATATCAACCGGTGGTCCACCAACATGCATCAATTTGAAAAGCTCCCATGCATAGGAGATTCTCCCAGATTTACACAAGCCATTAATAAGAGAATTATAAGTTACAGAATCAGGAACCAAATTTTTGCTATGCATTTCATTCAGGAGGTTCATGGCTTCATCAATCCTCTTACTCTTACAATACCCATTAATCAAGATGTTATAAGTCGAAACGTTAGGAGTCAATCCCCTTTTAAACATTAGTTCAAATAAGGCAATTCCCGTGTCAATATCTTGGATTTTGCAAAAAGCATCTATCAAGATATTGTAAGTGATAACATTAGGTAGTGGACCGTCATCGCTGATTGTACTAAAAAGTTCCCGTGCGTAAGAGAATCTTCCAGATTTGCACAAACCATTGATAAGAGAACTGTAAGTTACAATATTAGGAACCATGTTTTTGCAATGCATTTCATTGAAGAGACTCACAGCTTCATCAATCCATTTACACTTGCAATACCCAATAATCAAGATGTTATAACTCCAAACATCATGTAGAATTCCCCATTCAATAACTGTATCAAATAATTTTCTTGCCTCGAGCACATTACCGTGTAAGCAATGTCCACTCATCAAAGTGTTGAATGTAACAATGTCGGGTTGCTGACCTCTTTCAATCATCAAATTAAACATACCTTGAGCTTCTATCATATTTCCTTTTTTACAAATTGCATCAATTAATATATTGAAGGTATAAACATTCGGCTCGATGTTTTTATTAACCATTTCACACATCAATAGATTAACTTCTCCCCATTGAGCTGTACTACAAAAACCACGAATTAGAGAAGTGTAAGTTAAAATATCAGGATTTATTCCCAGGACAAGAATTTTCAAATATAAATCCCGAGCCTCAGTTACAAGTCCGTCTTTGCATAAACTATCAATGATTATGTTGTAGATTACTATGTTAGGCTTAACCGCTTGTTCTTCCATCTTTTGCAGCAACTGAAAGGCATCTATTGTATGTCCTATTTTACACAAACCATTGACCAAGGTCCCATAACTAACTTCATCCAACAAAATTCCTTCTGCTGCCACATTGTCTTGAAAGGCCATTGCTTTCTTAACATCGCCTTTAATACATAGCCCTTTCATGACGGTCGTCAAGGTTATGTTATTGGGTCGATATCCCCTCTTGAAAACTATGCCGAGTATGGAAAAAGCAAAACCCATCTCACCCAAATGGCAGTAACAATTGATCCAAATACTCAAAGTGACTATAGAAGGAGTAACTCCTTTCAACGCCATTTGTTTCAAAAGAGAAATAGCGGTAGGGCAATGTTTCATCTTCACTACAGACCCTAAAATCATGTTAAATTGTACAACAGATGGAAGTGGTTGTATATTAATCAAGCGATTGAATAAGGTAACAGCATCCTCAATGCCATTAAAGGATAATTTTTTTGCATTTTCTTTCGGGTAATGAGAAAAGAGCCTCAGAAATGTGTGGAAGGCATACCTTAACCTTGTAGTAGCAGTACACAACATTGCAATTCTTGGATAATTCCATTCAACACTTCTTCTCAGAACACCCTCTCACACTCTTCTTTTTTCAGACTACTTTCTTATTTCATTGTATTGAAACAATCAGATAAGCAATCTGCACATAAAACAAGCAAATTGGAACATCAATCAATAAGAGGAAATAAACATGTTTAGGTGGATCACAAAGATAATAATGGAAAATTATAAAAGAGAACATGTTTATGTAAATAGCATTTGGCTCCTCTAAATTGAACAATTCAATTTAGAGGGTAAAGTAAGAAATCTCCAACGATGATTAAAAAAGCAACCGTTGATATTCCAACAAATCCACTATTTGTTTATGCACATGGAAGTAACATTAACAGTTGATTTTCACATCTTAGGTTCATGTTAGAATCAATTTTGAAGATAAAATCAATTATACTAAGAAAATATCAAAACATGTCAAAATCAATTCTATACCTCTAAAATCAATTATGACACCTCCAAAAATGGAACCTAACATATCACATATTAAATTACTCACTGGAGACGAGCATAGCATTGTGCTGGGAGAAAAGGATTGGACCGAAAGATGAAATGTCTTGTTTTACCATATACATAGTGAGAGCTAAATCTAAATGAGCTACATTCTATGTTGTTAACAGAAATTGCGGATTTGTAGCGCAGAGTAGAACTGTGCTGTCCGACACAATTCCAGGACAAGACATCGAGCTGGAATTGCATCCTCGCGCAAAACAGTAGAAGCCTATAAGGGAAGGAAAATCTGAAAAATAAACAAAAATAGGAAATTATGGATGGTATTTCTCACCGTTTCAGGAGGGCCGCCAAAATAAACCATAATTTATAAACTACATAGCTTCAAACAACATTTCTATATTAAAAAAAAACTACATATTGCTAATCATGCAATTAATTTTCTGTTTGAAGAACGCCCTACAACGACCGCAATCAAAGACATCTACAAACCAAAATCGCAAAAGTCTTTATGCGACTGTTTTTAAAAACCTTTGCGGCCTTCTGATAGATTGTGCTAACAATGATGATGCAACAAGTGTGTTGTGTGAAATAGTAAATATGTGAATAAACATGGTTATTGTGGGAGAGAGTGTTTCTAATGCTGAGGGAGTTATTAAGAGCTATGTGGCACCGACACCTTTGAAAAAAAGTGTGTCCGTATCTGTGTAGTCCAACACCTGTACCGACTCTTGTGATTACGTTTAATTTATTTTTTTTTTCAAATTATTACTGGTGTCACCGTGTCACCATGTCAGTGTCAGAGTTGTGTTTGGGGTGTCCTTGCTTCACAGACTAAGAAGGGGGATTAACCTAACCTAACATTCAACATTTAACATTCAACAACAAGAAGATAACATTCAGCAATAACAGAATTTCAAGAGAAAATTAGAAAACAATCTAGGAATAGGGAAACAGAAAACAAGTGAAAAACCCTAAGTTACCTAACGGATGAAAGAGAAGCGCCGGAGAGGGCAGGGCGGTCGACGGCTGCACAGAGGAGGGAGTCACTCGTGTCTACACAAAGCTTCGCCGCGTTTTCTAGCGAGCTTTTACTTTTTACCGCCGATTCTGTTCAATTCGACTTGTTTCTGATAAAAGGCCGCAGCGCCTGATTTTTTTTTAATTGAGGTTACTAAAAACTTAGAATCTTATATGTTACTAGAGTTTCATTTCTACCTTTTTTTTTTTAAGTTGGATAAATATATTAATTTAACATGATATGGATTTCTATGATATACTAGTAAAAGCATGATATATCACAATATTGATATAAATATTATATAATAATAATTAATTTATATATATATATATATATATATATATATATATATATATATATATATATATATATATATATATATATATATATATATATATATATATATATATATATATATATATATATATATATATATATATATATATATATATATATATATATATATATATATATGAATTAAGGAAAAATTATTTTAATTATAATTATCATATAAATATTAATTTAATTTATTAGAGTGTAGTAGTGATGGTTAAAACATATATAAATTAAGTAGTTTCGATATGTCGAAATATATATTTTAATAGATAAAATAAAAAAAATAATTAAGTATTCAATTATCCGTGCGTTTGTACGGATTGCACAATGCCATTATAAATAGTAAATAAATATAGTAGGGTGACGGTTAATATATATATATATATATATATATATATATATATATATATATATATATATATATATATATATATATATATATATATATATATATATATATATATATATATATATATATATATATATATATATATATATATATAATATATATTAAGTAATCTTGATATATAGAAAATGTATATTTCAGTAGAAATAATTAAGTAGTCATCTATATGTATGTTTGCAAGGATCACAATGTCATTATAAATAATAAATAAATATAATACAGTGATGTTTAAAAAATGTATATAAATATAAAAAAAATAATAAATTTGTGTTTTCATAAGAGATAGGTGTATTCACTAATCATAATTGTCTCATATTTAATTTTATAAAAACAAATATTTGTATCATTTTTAGTATAAATATTAATATTTTATCATAAAAAAAACTACTATTTTTTCAAATCAATTTTATTTTTTCTTATATCAAGTCATAATATTATATATCATTTTTTATTAAATATATGATATTTATTTATCTAGAAAAGTATAAGAGAAATCATGCTTAATAGATTAAATTAATTATTATAGTAGTGGTCAAAATATTTAACCATAAAACTTAACCATAAATATTTCTCTATTTTGATATTTAAGTGGATTTGGTGAATATGTGACGTAGCGTTTATATGTAGTTTTTTAAATATTTTTAATTTATTATGATGTAGATTTTCCACATTGTCTTTTTGTTTTAAATATAAAAAGAATAATAATTTTGTGTCTTTCATAAGAAATTTATTTATTTTTGGTCTCATATTTTTTTTATAAAAACAAATATTTATATCATTTTTATAATATAAATTATAATATTTTTCAAGTCAATTTTGTTTTTTCTTGTATCATATCATATTATCATATATCAGTTTGTAATATACTCAAGAGTGGTATATTATAAAGTACATTATTCAAACGAAGCAAAAACTCTATGAAACATACAAATGTCGTACATTATAAAGTAGTGAATGTTAAATTGTAATTCGATTGTGTCGAAACAACGTGTGTGTCGAAGGGAGGTTGTCCAGTTGAAGAGTTTGTGGATCGAAACAAGCTACACACAAATTTGGTTGGTTTTAGATTTAGATAAATTTGATTTAGATTTAAAATAGATAGATTTGATTTAGTATCAAAATAGTTATTTTAGACTTTTATAATTTTGGACTTTGGCTTAGGGAGCAAGCTAACTTAAATCTATAAATAGAGAGAGTAATCCTTAATTTTGTAATCAAGTCAATTCATTGTAATCACATAATTTGCAGTTGCAAGTGATTAATAAAGTTTTCCACAGTTTGTGGACAGAGAGAAACTCTACAGAAAATAATTGTCTTCTTTCTTTTTTTTTCTCATAATTCATTGTCAATGTGTGGTGATATCAATCTTGTTCATCAAAATTGGTAGAAATTCATCATAAATATTTGGTGGATTTGCAACGTCTAGTATCAAGAGCTCGGTTAATCAATTTAAGGGAAGTATCGATCCAGAACGATCGAGGAAGAAGAAGAATTCACGATGGCGATTTATGGGAATGTAAATTATCCAGCAACTCTACCAATTCTGAAAGTAGACAACTGCGAAAACTGGTGCAAATAGATGAAAGTTTTATTCAGGTGTCAAGGTCTTTAAAATCTTGTAAAGGATGGATTGGAAGCGCTTGGAGAAAACACTTCAGAAGAAGAAAAGAAGAAACACACCAAATCTGAGAAGCTGAGTTATAAAGCACTCTTTATAATTCATCAATATCTGAGTCCAAAAAACTTTGAAAAAGTGAGTAATTCAGAATCTGCAAAAGAAGCTTGGGAGATTCTTGAGAAGTCTTTTGGTGGTGCAGAAAAGGTGAAAGAAGTGAGGTTACAAACTCACAAGAGAACATATGAATTGCTTCAGATGGAAGATAGTGAGAGTGTATCTGATTTCTTCACTATGGTTACAAAACTAGTGAATCAAATCAAGGTATATGGAGAAACATTAACAACAAGAGTTGTTGTTTCGAAGATCTTGAGATCTTTGACTCCTAAGTTCGATCACGTGGTGGTGGCTATAGAAGAGGGGAAAGACTTGTCGAAATTGAGAAAGGAAGAGCTTCAATGAACGCTTGAATCTCATGAACAAAGAATGACTGAAAGAGCTGCAGGCAAGTCGAAGAGTGATGTGGCTTTACAGGCACATTCAGCAAAAGAAACCAAAGGCAAAGGAAAATGGTTCGACAGAGGTAGAGGCGGCTACAACAAATCAACTAGTAGAGGAAACCAGAACGAAGGAAACGTGTCGAATCAGAGAAGACCATACCAAGGCAACCAAAGAGGTGGTGTTGCAAATAGAGGAAGAAGTGGTGGTCGAAAACCTGACAAGAGTCACATTCAATGTTACACATGTCAAAAGTATGGTTATTATTTGAGTGATTGTCCAGAAAAGCGAAAGAATCGAGAAAGTGATGCAAAGTTTGCAAAACATGAAGAAGAAGAGATGATGTTGATGGTCACAACAAGATATGAAGATAGATTCAAGGACCAATGGTACTTGGATTCAGTAGGCTCATCACATATGTCTGAAAGGAAAGACTGGTTTGTCAACATAAAGCCCTCAATGAAAAATATGGTAAAATTCGCAAATGACAATACCCTAGCAGCTGAAGGTATTGGTGATGGTATGATTATGATGAAAGATGACAAGAGGTCATTAATTTCCAATGTGTTGTACATACCAGGCATGAAGAGCAATTTGCTCAGTATATAGCAGTTGGTCGAAAAGAATTATAAAGTGTTGATCGAAGATAA